TTTGGGGAGGTCGTACTGCCCTCCTGGACGTCTGCTCCTTAAGTGGCTCCCACCCCCGAGTCGCAGGTTTGGGGTGATGAGGCGGCCAGGAGCGCAGCGCCCCAGGGGGCTCAGGAGCCAGGCGGACGCCCTCGTCGTGGCTGACCTCTTTGCCTGACCCCGTGTTCTTTAATTTCTGAGTCACGACCCTGCTCTATTTCCTATTGGGCTCATTGATCCGCCGGCCCTGAAGGCGCTGCATCCCTCGGCCTCGGTGAACCGGTGTCCATGAAAACTCCGGCCTTTCGGGGTGGCGGCGGCGCAGGGGCCGGAGGGTCGTCTCCCCGCGAGGCTCCTCCCTCGCACCCGGCCTGGGGCTGGCCCTCGCCTGCTCTCGCGGGGCGACCCCAGGTGGGGTGCCTGGGGTTACCCGCGGGACTCGGGGAATGTGATGGGGCTCTGCCCACGTGGGGAACGTGGCGCCAGCTGCGGAGCTCTGAGGAGCCGAAGGTGGCGCCCTTCACCCGGCAGCCGGACCGCCCGGCCGCCCGGGCCCGCGGGGTCAGACGCGAGCGGCCCTCCGGGGTCTGCCGCGGGCTCCGTCGCTCGGCGCGTTGCGCCCCGGGGCCCTCGGCTCTTCCCTCTCTGCCGGGGCCCCGGAGGCGCCCGCGGCTGCCACCTGCCCCCCGAAGCCCAGTGCGGCGTCCGCTCGGCGTGCGGCCCGGCCCCGGGCGCCTCCCCCGACCCTGGGAAGTTTCCTTGCACCGCGAGGAGGGCGGGAGAGGGAGCTGGAAACGGATTTTGCAGGAGCCGGGGTTGGGGCGGGGCGGAGATGGTGCGTGTTGGAAACGAGCCGCGCTCGGTCAAGGTGTGTTAGGAACCGGCAGGCAAAGGCGACGCCCACCAGGGACCTGGCGTCGGGCCGGGTCTCGGCAGATTTTCGTTCTGGATTTTTGGGGCTGCGTGTATGGCTTTGTTTTTATCGGTGGTTTGGTTCATGGAGTAGGGCTTGCGGGATCGAATTGCGAAGACATCCGTTTTGGTGGATTTGGGGAGCGTCTGTTTCATGGCTGGTTTGGTTTGGTTTCGTTGTTCGGTTGCTTCGTTTTGTTTGTGGGGTTGGACTTGCGGAATCGAGTGGGAAGTGTCTCCGGTCCCTTCGACCCGGGCCGGCTTGGGTGGCGGAGGCTCGTCCCGCGCCCCTCACTCAGCCGCGCTTGCTTTTCCGCAGACCCGACGCGCGCTGTGGCCCGGGATGGCTCTGCGGCCGCCAGGTGAAGCCGGCCCCCAGGACAGGATGTGCTTCCCCCCCGAGAGGCTCCAGAGCAGCCCCCAACACTTGACCCCCTACTACACGCCTTTCCCATCCTACGGGCCCTACGGGAGCAACCTGATGGCCGCCGAGGAGGATTTCCAGTCTTTCCTGCAGCTGGAGGCCTCGGTGCCTGCGTCGCCGGCCATGCCCCCTTTCGCCTTCGGGACCGCGCCTCCCTTCCTGAGCCCTGGCCTGGCCCTGCAGAGGGAGCCCCTCTACGATCTGCCCTGGCATGGCAAGCTGCCACCGTGGTACCCATTTCCCTACTTCCCCAAGGAGCTGCAACCATTCCCGAACGGTGGCCGCGAGGACAGCCGTGAGGATCCTGGCGCCACCGGTAAAGACTTGGCCTACGCTGGTAGTCGAAGTGACAGCGGCCACTATTATGAACCTGAAATTTTCAATCCGCCGCCCCCTGTGGATACGTCCCTCTTACCCGAGGGGCCGAAGACCTCCCAGTTATTACCGTGCCTCCCCAGCCAGCAGTCTGAGGGTGGCCCCAAACTCCCGAACGAGGAGAGGACGTCTCATCGTTACCACTTCACCCAGGAGGACCTGCATCTAGTTCTGTACGGGGTCCTTCCCAGCCAAGAGCGCTCGACGGCCCTGCACCATGCGGCTTCAGGCCTCCTGGTCCCCACAGACAACTCTGGTAAAGGCGCACTTCGGGGTGTGTCTGAGTCCGGGGGCGGGGGTTATGGTGTATGGACTTCCATCCCGGGATGGGGCCTGTGGAGGCCAGGCTCATGCGGGCGGCCCTACTTGCTTAAGTGCCCGACTCCTAACGTGGGTTTTAGTGAGATCTGTGGGTGAGGCGAGAAATGGTTCATGCAGTGGACTTGTCAGCTGGGCTCAGATTCGACCAGGACGCCGGAGAGAGCTCCTCCAGAGAGCCTCGTGTAATTCCAGGGGCCCTAGCTCGGCCACCTACCTTGACCTAAGTCTAAATCAGCATGATCTCAGATTCTCAAGTTTTTAAATTTGCAAAATGGGGTTCATTACATAACCTTGCAAGGATTGTTCTGAGTCTCAAAGGAGAAATTGTATATGTAAAAGAAGCGGGAAAAATAAAAAACATCAAACTCAAGATAACTGTTATCTCTAGGATGTAGGGAGGACATAAAAGGATTTCATAATATTTTTTAACGAAAAGTAAAATTTTAACCCTGCCTTTTCGTAGGATCTAATTCTCTCCCTCCAACTCTGGATCAAAACTCCCTTCAGCTACCAGAAGGTGGGTGCAGGGCTCCTGGCGGGGGTGTCTTTCCTTAAGTGACTGCAGTCAGTTTCCTCGCTGACCTCCCTTTTTGGGGTTTCCCCAGGTCTCTGCTTCCGGCAGATGCTGTTTGGCGAAGTCCCGCATTTTGGTGTCTTCTGCTGCAGCCTCATTGCCAAAGGAGTCAGGTTTGGGCCCTTTCAAGGTAAAGTGGTCAACGCCAGTGAAGTAAAGGCCTACGGGGACAATTCTCTGATGTGGGAGGTAAGTCTCTTTCTGGTGGGCTGACTGAAAGTGGGGAGGGGTTCTGATGGGGACCAGTCTCGGCCTGCACCCCTGTGGGAGAGGGGGACGGATGCTCAGGGCAGTAATCTGTTGTCCCTCGTGATTTGCGGTGCCTGAAGCCATTTTAGTCTGTGAAGATTAGCCGTGGCACATACATTTTAAAAACTCTCATACCGTTTGTTATATTTATATACAGAACCAATTGATTTAAATATGGTGGAGGGATGCTGAGAAAGTGCCAAAGGAAATGAAAACAAATGAAAAATTTTTTATATCATTTATCTATGAAGTTGGCTAAGGATTTGTAAAAACGAGACTCCTGACTCTGTCCGGGGCGTACTGGCAGCAGGGCAGTGTGTCAGAATTTATCAGCTACTCCCTCCCTCGACCCTGAATTTCTACTTCCAGGAATATAGTTTAAGACCGTGTGGAAGATGTTATTCACAGGGTGGTTTATAATAATAAAACGTTGGAGAAAGCAGAATTGCCAACAGCAGGGAAAGGATTAAAGTGTGGCTCCATGAGTATGCACGAAAGTCAGGTTGGGATAAAATACAAAACTAATTGGTGTCTTTAAGCGGTAGGAAATGTAACCTGTTGTTTCCCTTATAAATTCGGAAATAAGAAAATTAATAAAAGTAAGAGTCTAAAAATGCCACGCCGCCTGTAGAAATATCCTTAAGCTAGTAAATCTATTTAGGTTTGACAATAATATTAATAAATATATTCAGTGAACTCAAATGTGGAATTTGAATTTTAAATTTTTAGCAAGTAAATTTATTTCACAGGTTACGCCAAAAAAAAAAAAAAAAGTAAATTCCAAACTTCATGTCTTATTTCATTTAGATCTTTGAAGATGGTTATTTGAGCCACTTTATAGATGGTAAAGGAGGTGCAGGAAACTGGATGGCCTACGTCAACTGTGCCCGTTTCCCCAAAGAGCAGAACCTAGTTGCAGTGCAATGTCAAGGGCAAATATTTTACGAGAGCTGCAAGGAGATCTACCAGAACCAAGAGCTCCTTGTGTGGTATGGAGACTGCTATGAAAAGTTTCTGGACATCCCTGTGAGCCTTCAGGTGACAGAGCAGGGGAAGCGGGCGTCTGGGCTCTCTGAAGGTGAGTGCACCCCTTTGCCTCGCCCAGTGAGGCGCTCCTCGTGGAAGCACTCGGCTCTTTTCCAAACACGAACACCTTCCTGCAGCTTCTCAGCTGCTTGTGGAGCTCTTTCCTCCCAAAGCTGACGCAGGAGACTGAACCGAGGGTGTCTCTAACCAGGGGGCATTACCCAGCTGGAAGAAAAGGCACGCAGCTTTCCAAAGCTGCCGAGCTGCTGGGATTCACAAGGATGCTTTTTCTTGTACCCCTTCCCCGCTCCTAGAGAGCACCCTGAAAGCGAAATAAATGGTGGCAGCCTCTGCCTTCAGTGAGCCAGTTTCTGGTTCATCTCTGCTCAGGCTAACACAGCTGATGAAGTCACTGCACTAGAGCGGTGTTTTTCAAATGGTGGATTGCAGTATCTTAATGGGATAGGAAATCAATTCAGTGGTGGAGACCAGCATTCAAGAAAAAAAAAGAGTGAGAATAAAGAAGGATAGATAATAATGATGCAGATTTCACTTACGTAAGAGCTAGAATTGTTTGGTAGAGTTTCAAATGGATATCAGTGTGTTTGGGTCTCAAATAGAAAACGTATTTATTACTATGGGTCTCAGTCGAGTCTGGAGAAGCACTGAGCTAGACTCATTATTTTTCAGTATTTTTTATTAAATTTATTGGGATGATTGGTTAATGAAATTATATAAGTTGCCCGTATACAAGTCTGTACTACATCATCTCAGAGTTTAATGTGGTTGTGAATATCTGGGCATCTTGGGAAAAGTGCAGATTCTCTCTAGCTTCCAGGGAAGGCTTCTGCTACTGATCCCTCCACCGCATTTTAGCAGCAAGGAGCTAGAGGACCACCAACCCTCTCTGGGAATGAGCCTCTAGAATCTGCATTTGAAACAAGCTCTTAGTGATTTTTTATATACACAGAAGCTTGGGATCCCCTAATCTAATAGGTGGAACAAGAAAAATGCAGATTACTGTGTGTGTCAGGTAGGTGACCACCTTATTATGTTATAATAAGGGCAGCAAGCAACAGGTCAAAAAACGTGAATTGCATTCATCACAGGGTGCAGTGATTGTCTTGCATGCATGTCTGTCTCCCTACTAGAATATGTCCTCCAGGGCAGGAAATAACCCTAAACACCTTCATATCCCCTGCTCCTGGATCCCAGTGTGGATTGAAGGGAGGAGGAAGACAGTACGTCTCAACGGGGAGAAGCTGCTTGGGGGTGAGATGAAATAAGGGATTTCCAGGCAGGGAGAGGAAAGGCCATCCAGACGGGGAATGGCGTAGCTGAGAGCGAGGGCACGATCAGCAGGGATTAGGAGGTGAATAATGAGCTTCTCTTTCCGTAGAGTCCAAACAATCAGGGCCTGTTGAATTGTTCTGGCGAACTAAGTTCCTCCTACCCCCCAAGCTGGGAGTAGGGATGGGGTAAAGGGTCATAGAACCCGGAATCAGCACATACGTAGCCAAACACATCTTTTTGGTCACTTCCAAACATGTAGCAATTGCTTTTGAAATAAAAATGAAAAATATATTTGAGAAAAAAATACATGCTTGACAACTCCCCAAATTTAATCATTGTTCTTTTGAAAAATCCTGTAACACCATGTATCGAAGTATGAAAATATTCATACTTTTTGATGTCTCAGGAATATCTCTTCTAGAAATTTATCTTCAGTAAATAGTCCAAAAAAGATGACCAACCGTGTACAAGTGAAAAATCACAATGCTCAATAGTAGAATGATTAAGTAAATGGTGATGTATTAGCATGGACTAATATGCAGATATCAGAAACCATGATCGTCATATAATAAGCAACAGGGGTGAGGGCTGATGGTGCTGAGTGAGGGACGGCCTTAGCATGGCATGCAGTCAACTGTGCTCCAATTCTGACCCGGATTATATCCGATGCTTGGGGCACTGTTAAAATAATGTGTGCATTTTGGACACTGTGGGAGGGAACTTGTAAAAACTTAATTTTGGGGGAAGAATTATAGACAAATAATGTACTCTGTTATGAATGTTTTTGAATAAAGTCGAAAGGAAGGAAAAATCAAAATTTTTCTGTCCTCACAAAAAAACTTTTTCTCAAAGGCTTTTTGTGAGGGCTGGTGGGGGCCTCTCCCCCTCTCAGGTCCTGAGCGGGAGGGAAGGGTCTGGACCCTATGTGGGCGGGTTATTTGAGTATGCAGCCTGCCGAGTGTGTGTTTTGGGGGCTGGAGGTGTGGAATGTGAAAACAACTCTTAATCCTTCCCGAACCGTCTGAATGTATGTTTGCGGTGGGGCAGGAAGCATCATTATCGGGATTGAGAAACCCCCAGACTAAAAAGAGCAGTTGATTGAGCTGGGGGAAGGAAGAAGGGAGAGAGAATAGGATAAAATTAGGTTGAGATAAATTTCCAAAGACCTGAGCAGAAAATGTCAACAGCCGAAGCCTAGTTAGTGAAGGTGCTGTGTCATTTCTGCCTAAGTAAGTGGTGATTCTTATGTGCAAATTTACTTTGTACCCAATTGTTTGAGTTTGGGTGTGCTTTAGTGCTCCTCTGATTCGTCAGATCACTGGCTCTATCTTTTAGACTCCCTTCTTCCAGCCAAGGAAGCGGGAAGGCCCGGTATTTCTGACCATGGAAGATCCTTGCTCTCAGCAAAAACCGGTCCAGCAGGGGGATTCTGAGAATATTAGCACCTCAATGAAAGTGGCAGACAGTGGCTGGGCAATGGATTGTCCTGGGGTTGGAGATTACCTTCCTGGTTATTTACTTAATAAATGGTTTATTTCCTTAGCTACTTGTTAACCGTGCCTGGGCCTAGTTGTCAGCTAACAAAGCTCCTGATGGATAGCTTCCCTGCTGTCCTGATGCTAAAGAGATTTCCATGTCCAGATTCTTGCATCTACTCCCTCCCTGCTCCTTTCTCCCTTTCTGGGGCCAGACAGTGAGGTCTTCGGGATGCGCGCACCATCAGAGCCATTTTATCCTCTGGAATCCCAGGTGTCCTGAACGGGGATGCTTTCGTAGGTGGCCCCTGTCCTCCCCCCTCCCCCCAACACGTACACACACCGCCCTGGACCTGGCATCTCCTTTGCTAGAGTCTGCAGCACCCTCTCTAACCTCTCCTCCCCCTCCCTCCTCCATTGATAAAAACAGATTTGCCTTTCTCGGTCTTATCTATCACTCTGTGATAGTGTCACTCGTAGTGGTAAGAACTCAATAAGTGTTAGATTTAAATTAATCATTGTGATCACCCTTTGTGTTATGGAAGGCAAGATATTGTCATCCCTCCTCTACAAATGAAGATTCTAGCTCTGGAATCTTCCCCAAAATTCAGAGAGGTGAACGATAAGCTTAGAGGGTGCCTAAAAGACTTTGTAAAAGGGGTCAAAAGCAACAGCACTTCGAAAGCCTGTGACCTAAGCTGTAGATATCCATCAGTGTCCTGGGTGAGCTGCTTTGAACCTGTAGCCCAGACTGACAGAGAGAGTAGGTATGTTTTTGTATATCGTTAGCCTTGTAACGAGTGCCAGTCAGGCGTGTGTGAGATTATGGTTTGTGGTATTTATGAACCAAATGATAAATTAGCATTTCATTATTGAGGAAATTGCTATAAATGAAAACCAAATTGGCCATGAGTTAGTTGGTCATTGTCAAAGCTTGGTGTTGGCCGCGGGAGGGCTTATTTTATTATTTTGACTTTAATATATGTTTAAAATTCTCTATAATGAAAAGTTTTTTTAAAATTGCCTTGGAAGAGAATAAGAATGAGGGAAAGTAGCTGACAAAGCCACCGGCGCTTCTCTTCCTGTGCTGGACAGAGTCTGCAGAAGGTTACAGATGTGAACGATGTGGGAAAGTATTTACCTACAGATACTACAGAGACAAGCATCTCAAGTACACCCCCTGCGTGGACAAGGGCGATAGGAAATTTCCCTGCTCTCTCTGCAAGCGGTCCTTTGAGAAGCGGGACCGGCTCCGCATCCACATCCTCCACGTTCACGAGAAGCACCGGCCTCACAAGGTAAGCGTTTCGGTGCCGACTGACCCTGCCCATCGCTCAGGCTTCCGCCGTCTGTTCGCAAAATCCGCAAACCGCTCGGGGGGCCTCCCGCGTGCAGCGCCTGCTGGCAG